TCTTGCCTGATTCCATGTAACTTCTCTATTTTGTTTATGTAAGACCACATATTGACCTTTCAACAGAATTACGTAAAAAGCCAATATTTTAATTATTCATTGCCAGAAACACTGTAATACATTTTTATCATTTGCAGAACTGGTTTGACACAATCATTATTGCCATAGAATTGTTGAAATCAAATCAAATGTGATAGCTTTTAGTCTGGGTAATATAATATAGGTTTTGACTGATATTACTGGTTTTCGAAGTTGCAAACAGATGAATATGTCTATTGGATTTGAGTAATAATACTCTTAAGAGCGAACATTCGGGCGTTTTCACTCCCTGGTAACCAACACTGGTGAAAACAAAGTATTATAAATTTCGCAGCATTGTGAATAGTGGAACATACTCAAAAGATGATTATAAAATATAGAAAACAGATACAAATATTCTCTCTTCTGAATGCTTAGCAAGATTTAGCAAGGCTGAACATAAATAATCAAAAAGAAACATGGTGCAAAAAAGTAATTACAAGATGTCAATATTATGCACTATATTTAGCTTTTTACAAATCGATAATAGGTTTAAATTTGGAACTGTAACATCTATTTTAATTATGAGCATTAACATTCTTCTTATTTAGTGATTGTTTATGCAAATTAGCCATTATCCCCACTTATTTTTTTTCAGTTTACCAGAAAAATTCAAATCTAATTAGCTCTCACAATTGTTGTTTATTTGAAGTGAAGCTTTCACACAACGTGTATCAGTTGTTTATTAACAAATGGGCGTCCAGGCGTATATATAGTTTTGTGTTTTAATTTGTTCGTCAAGCTGAATGTGTGCCGTATATTCAATCTCGGTCAGTATTTCACACTTCGAATGTTATTGTACGAGTATTCAAAGCTTTAAGAATAAGCTCAGATGTCCTGAAAATGAAATTGAAGGGAAACTATTGTAAATCAAGACAGGTTTCATTCAACTACAGACAAGACGACAAAGCCTGGAAATACCACATTTAACGTATTTTGCGACATCGCTACAGATGCATGCTAGCTGACAAGGGGGTTTCCGATTAAAGTAACCAAGCTGGCATCGCAGAGTGCTTGATTTTTACAGTGATGCACGCCTTAGCAACATAGAATGCTCTGTGACATAGCTCCGCCCCGAAGTAGAACGTAGTTGTTAATTATATAAGTGTACTAAATTTCGATTTTTATATATAACCTTGACTGTTTATAGTATACTGTATGTTCGTGTTCACATTTACTGACAGTATATTTCAAAGAATCATCATTTTCACAGTTATATGTTTTCTCAGTATATCATTTATGCATGTAGTACTATGGGAAACTAGCACAACGAGCGGTAATTTGGCCAATATTTGTTCGAACATCGGAATAAGCATTTCTTATGAGTCAATGAGAACGTCCCGCTCTAAACATGTAATTGTTACTTGTAGGGATCTAATGCAACGTTGTATGTATTTTTGCGTCGGGATTCAATGGAACGTTGTGTGTTTTTGGCTTTCGTATTAGGAGCAGCTGCGTTCTAGTTTTACGAGTTCTCCCCTGTTACACTCATTGTATGTCAGTATTGAAGAGTAAATTAATTTTGAGTTCGAGTCTCACGACGTGTTTCGTTTCAGTTTCATCACCCCACTGCTGGGAAGATCTAACCAGTCAATCCAGAGCAGCATTATGCTCAATCTATTTTTTCAAATATTTGCTGATTCTTGTGTCAAAATGCAACTTTGCATCATTACACCTCGTGTTTTTATTGGGTGGACTCGATGGGCCGCGCCGTCATATGCCGATCACGTGATAGGCACATCGGTCGCGTGAAGGTCAATCGAGGACGTTCCATCTTTAAAAGCACATTTGAGTGACAGCCCGGTTTCGTAATGACACGACACAG